CACCTCTTTAGTCTCCCTGATACTTCACGCTCCTCCCACGCACATCCCAGGGGTCCTCTCCTCAGTAGGATGGCCAGTCAGTCATTGGTCACTCGTGCTTGACCAGTACACACAGTACCGTTTTTAGTTCCGGCTGGTTGTGTTTTAGGTGCCGGCTAGTTAGGGTTTTACGACCGGGGATGATGTGATGAAGACTCGAGTTCGAGGACCGCTTGGGGGAGGGGGGGGGTGAAGGAATAAAAAGCCCTGGCTGTTGTATGAGAATGGGAGTGGCTCTCCTAGTGTTTTCATGGCCCACTGATGTTGCTGGGAGTGGGTGGTGAGAATGGTGTGTCTGGTAGGCCCTGTTTCTTATCATCTCCCTTTGCCCTGTTGTTTCTGTCCATCTGTGTTACTTCTTTCCTGTTCTCAGTGGTCCTTATTCAGTGGATGTGGCCTACTTTTTAGTTCTGAAGAAAACTTGAACCAGATGTTTAGTACTTTGGCTGCAAGGGAAACTTGGATGTCTCTCCTCCACCCCTCCCTTTACACACAATATCTTTAATTAACAGAGAAGAAAAGGAAAGGCGGGAAATGGGTGAACAGGGTAGGGGGGAATAAAAGGAAAAAAAATCTCTAGGGCATTTAGGAAAAACAAACTGCTTTAAGACAACATTCCTTTTAAAATAAAATGACAAGGATTGATTAAAATTAACCTGTTTTTTCCCCCCTTTATGAAATGAATCGATCTATCTTTTCTTACTGCAAAGATACGAATAAATAAGACAATTCAGGGAAAAGGATTGCTAGAACTGAGAAGGCCTAGATGCGGATACATGAGCCAAACAATAACACGGGCTAAACAACAACCCCCCCTCCCCACACAACCCCCCCCCAAAAAAAAACAACAACAAACAAACAAACAATAAAAAATACATCATTAAATTTTTGTAATAAGGTTAAAAAAATAACCCCACCCCCACCCCCAAAAACAAAACAAAAGAAGAAAAACAAAACAAGAACAAAGAACAAAAAAGAAAAACAGAGGGTAAGGTAATGTACGAGCCGTCATCGGTCGTCCATCACAGAGCCCGCAGTTTGGTACTCCGCGCTGCCCGGTGTTGGGGGAATTCCCGGAAGTTGTGTTGATACAGAGCTTTTCTGGGCTAGTGGGGGGGATCTCGCATGGAATGGGCAAATTGTTGTTTGTTCGCCGCACTTTATGGTGCTGCTGCTCCTGTTTGTCTGTCTGTGTGTTTGTCTGTCGATGGTGTGTCTGTATGTC